AGCATCTGTCCTACGAGGAGAGGCTGAGGGAGCTGGACTTGTTCAGCCTGAAGAAGAGAAGGCTGAGAGGGGACCTTACAAATGCTTATAAATATCTCAAGGGTGGGTGTCAGGAGGATGGGGCCAGACTCTTTTCAGTGGTGCCCAGTGACAGGACAAGGGGCAAGGGGCACAAACTGAAGCACAGGAAGTTCTGTCTGAACATGAGGAAGAATTTCTTTATTATGAGGGTGGCAGAGCACTGGAACAGGCTGCCCAGGGAGGTTGTGGAGTCTTCCTCTCTGGAGATATTCAAGACCCACCTGGACGCTGTCCTGTGCAGCCTGCTGTAGGTGACACTGCTTCGGCAGAGGGGTTGGACTAGATGGTCCACAGAGGTCCCTTCCAACCCCGAACATTCTGTGATTCTGTGAATGCTGAAAGACCTCTGGCAAGCAGGATGGGAGCAATTTTATGATGGTGATGGGGAACAATGACTAACTTTTTTTGAGAAGAAGGAAAAATAAATGACAATTTCTGGCCTGAGATTAAAAAATGAGAAAATTTTCTTGCTGTTTTATAATAATTCCTTATAATAATTGTACTGTACTGCACTTTTTTGAAAAAGGGACTGATAATTTTTGATTGAGAATAGTGACAGTGTTGCTAAAACATTAGCTTGTTTGGCAAATTGTATTTTAAACATATGTGGGGATGGAAATTTTACGAATAAAGGAATAACGTCTGATTTTTCACACAGGTCTAATAATGTAAATTACATGATGTTTCAACTGCTGTTTATAAACTGAGGAAAAACTTTTGGAGATGGTAAAACAGGCAGTGTAGTGGTTGAATTATTTTTTTTTTTCTTAAATGTGTTGAACTTGTGAGATAGTATAGAGTAGTTATCACTTGAGGCAGAGCCAATAAATCATCTTCAAACATTAATTAGGTAAGCAAATAGTTCTAATCAGTGATCTAATACGTTGTATGAATAAATGCAGTTTCTAAAAGTCTTCATCCAGAACTTGACAAATAATATTTAGCCAAGGTAAATAGTGACTGTGTAGTCCTTGTACATTGTACAGGATCATATGTGTGTTTAGAGTGTGCAGTAAAACAAGGTGAAATAGGTGAAAACCTCTGGTTTTGTTATAGGATATCTATGGCAACTGAAAGTGGTTGCTAAAATTAGTGTACGGAAAAAGTGTCCTCTGTGCTATAATGACCTGTTTATTTTAGTAGAGTTTGCTATTTTTCAGGTGCAGTTAAAAACCAACATTTCAAGTCAATACGTAATTCGTACACAGCCAACAAACACTTGTCTGTCTACACTTGAATGTGCAGCTGTTGCTCTTACTATCATGGAAAAAAATAAAAGTATACAAGAGGTATGTAATTTTAAACACCTGAGTTTTTCTTTCATGAATAGTACAGGGACAGCGAAGGTACTTTGCTATTAATGTCACATTTGATAGTCAAAATCTTGACAACCTTGTAATGGTTTTGTTGCATAGCAAACTAAAACAAGAATGTACCTATAGAAACTATTTTTCTTCAGATATTTGTTAGCTCTAGTATGTTCATGTTGCTGTGACTCTTTCTTGTCGTGTTCCAAAGGTCTCTATAGTTTTCCTATTCTTTATTCAACATTGCTGTAAGATTGCTGAGGGAACTTGTTAGATGCAAAGGTGTTCAATGATTGTTTTGCTGTTCCTCTTTTCAGTATGTTGAATTCTAATACAGTGGTTCTTATTCTATCCTGTAATGGAATTAGATTGGCTCTTTTGCCACAAAGAATTGTCTGAAGATAAACCTGGGCAAGATTCAGGGCTAAAAATCTTCTGCACACTTCTTTTTGTACTTCTAAATGTGGAGAAGAGTGTCTCAGATTCTTTTCACCTGCACAATGTAAAAGTACATTACTTTTTTTAAAAAAGTTGATTTATAAGGCACCAAATGTATGCTCTGCTTGCCACAATACAGAATAAAAATCTGTAGAGATGACAGTTTAGGATTTAGCCCAAAACGAACAGAAGCACTACTGTGCATATTGCAGGGCAAGTAATGCAGAGATGAACTATTGTAGTTATCTGTTCCTGTTGTTTGTCTAAGTTCACTTGACTTTTCTTATTGCAGAACTTAAAGTCATAGACTGTGTACCAGGTCATGTAATATACTAAATTGTACATATGTAACATGCTAGATTGAGTTTCTTTTTTTAAACAATTTTCTTTTGGGTATTTCTTAAGTATACTGTGTTGAAAACTACTTTGTTTTGTGTACTATGTTAATTAACTGCAATTAACAGTTGACTGTTAACAAATGTTCAGTTGCTGTAATGTATGGAATTTACATGTTGCACTCTTACATTACCGACATTATACTTAGTCTAAAGTGTAATTAGTATTTTGTAGCAAATGAAGATATTAGTAAACTTGGCAAAGATTATAGCCAATGAACACTCTGATGTCTAATTTTCATGAAGTCAGAAAAGCATGATGATTGTTTAGTCGATTAGTGATTCATTGGTACTGAAAAACGAAGCAAGCAGTGTTTGGGATGAAATTCTTATGGTAGGTCTCAAAGGCTTTGTTCTGTTGACTTTCCTGTGCTTTTTCCTAATAATATATAAAACCTGAAGCCACTTAAAGTCAGGAGAGTTTATTAATTTTAAATTGTACATCATATAATAGATGTTATGAGGTGGTGTATATGTGTACACACCTTATAATATTTGTTTACTTCAGTTGAGAATAAAAGTGTCATAGAAACATTCAGAATTTTTCACCAGTCTTTTCATATTCTAATAGTGGGGAATAGTATTTCTACAGGTACTATCAGTTGAGGCTCATAAGAGTTTGTAAAATACCTTTGGATACAACTTGGTAAAAAGGGAAAGTATTTCTAAGAAGTGAGAAACTTAAGAACAGTTGGAGATTATTATCAGTAAAGTTTCCATCTCTCTTAGATAGGATATTAAAGTATTTAACTACCTTTAAATTTATGATGAACTTCTTCAGGTAAGGTCTGAATTTAAAGTTACTGGACTGACAAATGCCATTGAGAATAACTGATGCTAGACTACAAGAAGTTTCATTTAGTTAGCAGTCAGGTAGGATTGATTTCCTTTTAGCATAGGTTCGTCTTGAAATATTATCTGGAGTTAAATAACAGTTATCTTTTGTAACAGATCCGTATTTTTAAATGATCCTCAGATGTCAAAGCGCAGCAAGGTGATCTTTGACTCTCAAAACCCCAAAATCTAATCCTGAGACAAGCAGTTGAGTATATTACTGCATGGAAAGTAGTAAGTTGTTTTCTGCAAAAACTAGGTGGCAGAGATGATCTGAGTACCCCCTCATGGCTACCTCAAAGATAAAATGCTTTTGTAAGCCTGTCCCACTGACCTCCCGCACTCCTGCAGCCATGGAATGCAACCCACTGGGTTACGTCTTCCTACCAGCCAGCCCACAACTGTTACGTGTCACTGGAGGAGTTTGGGACTTATCCCAGGTCAACGAATACTAATTGGACATTAGCCTTTTCCTTGCAAGTTGTGATCCCACTAGTCTATGATGGAAGAGGTTATTAAGATCAAGTCCTTCTTAATCTTTTGTTGCTGACATTAGTAATATCAATTTAATAAGCTTTTTGAAAAAGACCTACGAGTAGATTTGCAACGTAGACCCAGGTCTGCAATCTGATTGTGTGCCCAGGATGTAGTACAGAAGGGTCTGTAAAAGAGATTTAAAGTCCATGCATGTATTCACTACATTCTAGTGGCCACCCTGGGATGCTCATATACCTCTGCATCAGATGAGTATTTTGATACTTGACCTCCACCTACTAAAAAAGGTTCTCAGGTCAAAAATTGCTTCTGCAGTTGGCATAATGTAGACTATGCCACACTCGTGTCTGCCTCTGTGACAACAGAGAGTCACCCCACCATTAAATCAATTGCATTTAGAACCAGACTGGGACAAAGTATGTATGCACACAAGAAAATATGGCTCAGAAATTGCACCTCTATGTAAAGAAACTTTTCTAGAAACTTGTGTATCTTTTATGACAGTGCAGCTATCATATGCTTTTATGTTAAAAGAAGGTAATTATTTATTGTTGAAGTAAAACCCATGAAAAAATTAGAAATACTGAAATTAAAGTGGGTTTTGTATGTTTACTTTTTCCTTTAGTGTGCTAGGACAATGTTGGCATATTTTTCCTTCATTAGGACTTCTGTCTTATTCAGGTCCAGTGTGAATGTTTTGTTAGTTCCTTAGACTAATTCCCAGTCCTGGATTCTGTTTATTCTCTACTAGTCAGAATTGTCCCAGCCTACTTTTCAAAGACAAAATCATTAGTTTCTCAAAGGTGCTTCTATAAGTGTTGCTATAGCCAAGAGTTTCACAAACATTTGTGCACTTTTTTTATACTCTCTCTGAATTAATTGAGTGCTATTCCCAGCATATAAAATGGCAAATGGAAGTCGAGAACTTGGAACTTAAAAATGGGCACTTAGTTTGATGCCTGTTATAAGTCACTTTATCTTCCTGTGTGCTCTGAAGAGTCACATTTTCCTTGTTAGAAACTCAGCTCCTGCTGACTGCATCTGAACATGAGGCCCTGTGACACTGAGTCAGGCAACCTGAAAATGAAGAACCTCCAATTAGGAACAACTTGAGATAAATTTGATTTGTGTAGCTTCATTAGTCCTGCATAATATCTCTGGGCAGAAGCAGTAGTACGGTTCAGTCTCCAGGAGAGCAGTCCAGCTGCCTTGGTCGTGAGTCCTTCCTCTCTTTCTAAAACGCTGCCTCAGGGTATTTTCATGCAAGCACAAATAGCTTAGTTATTGTTAGGTACTTTATTACAGCTTGTTGGCTGAGCTGCAGTAAATGATCGTAGTCCTTGCTAAAGTCAATTTAAAGCCATAACTTACAGTAATGTAGCTGGGGCAGAAGTCAGGATTGAGTGGGTCCAAGGAAGGAATAAGGGACAACAGCAGGTAGGTGGACTAATGTCTACTGAGTGGCTTCTTTTTAGTACATCTTTTATTCAGCTGTGCCCTCTGTGCCTCCAAAGGTTATATTTTATCAGCATCTGTCATAAAAATTATATTTTGTCATGATTTTTAAGTAGTCCTTGAATACCAACCTGGGACAATTGATGTCTCTAAAATATCTTACTAAAAGGTTGGGCTTTTTGTCTCTCCCCACCCCTTCATCTTTCTGCAGACTATACTCCGTCCACTTCAAGCTTTATGCTCTTTCCAGCTTCAGCATGGTGCCCAGATCCATCACAGCAAGGAGCATCTTCTCAAAAATGGCTTATATGACAAACCAATGCCAAAGAATAAGCGCAAACTCAGAAGAATGGAGCTTTTGGTGAATAATGTCAAAATATAAGAAAACTGTACTGACAGTACAGTGGAATTTATTTGCAGCTAGCAAAACAATATGAATCTGTATTTAATCCAAATGGTTGACTGTAATGTAATAAAACAACTTTAGGCCCTTCATAAGCAAGAGTTTATCTGCCAATGTGACAAGCAGTAATGGACAAGCTTTTTCATTTTTGCAGTAGGCCAGGTGCCTTTGTTCAGATGATAGAAGATCATTCTCATTTCCTATAGAAAAGAAGAAGAAAACTCTGAGCGTAGTTTAGAGTTGTGTTATCTCTTGGGTGACAAGTATGATCCTCAATATGACTGGATAAATTTACTTTGGAGAAGTTTTTATCAGTACGAGAAGACAGGAATATGAATGTAATGGAACGGTAAGGCTTCAGCATTTAGAATTACATTGAATTTCTGCTGAGCATTTTAACTTCAGAATCTAATTACAGTAGGTTTTCAAACTGTAATTCCTTATATTACTTAGTTCAGACGAACTAAGGACATGCTATTTGTATAGTACTTTCTAACTTTGAGATTTTGATTTCTTACGTTATTAGAATTGCTTTTTGTAAATTTATATACATTTTACAATGCCGTTGGGTTTAGTTTCTCTCCCAGACTTAGTTTTAAAGTTAAGCCTGCATATATTTTTACCAGAACCTGAACACTTCTGACTTTAAAAAGTGAATGTAGAGGAATGTGTTTTGGAATTATAACTCAGGTGCTTCATTTTATTTGAGCAAAAACTACTCTTTAACAGAAGGGGACGTTTCATGGATATGCATATGTCATACCCATACCCTGATGTACAATGGTTATGATACTAAAGGAATTAAACAAGCTCAGTGTAAACAGCCCTGTAAGAAGTATGATGCAATGAGAAATGATTATGTCTGGATACAACCTACTAACATGATTGCGGTTCCATTAGATTTACATGTGTTCTTCAGTTAGTTCTTTTCTAACAGTGATATAATTGTACCTCTTTCTTATGGGAATCGCTGACAGCAGAAGAATTGGGTATTTTTACAATCTTTGTGAAGTAAGATTTTATGATCTGGAGGAAAAAAAATAAAGGTTTTGATGTTCCTTTCTTCATGTTCATGAATGCCTCCTTTATGAAACAGATTAAAATGTTTGATGTTTGTCTTTACTATCAGTTCCACTCTAGGTAACAGCATGGAGCTGATTGGGTCCTAATTAGTCTTAGAAAAAGATATTTTGTCTTTAATTTATGAGCTGCAAGGCAAGAAACTGCAGAAGTGGGGGGTGCAAACACAGCTAACCAATACATTAACTGAAAGCATTTCTGCAATTAACAAGAGAGGTCAAAGTTAGGTCAGAGATTAGCTAAAAAGCCTTAGTTAACCCTGAGTTAATAGTGAACTTTTGTTTAGGCATGGATTAACAATTTAATTTGTCTGGCTATGTTAGCAAAGTTTATATAACCTTTTTCTCTTCTCCTGGCCTAGATAAATCCTGTATCTTGTCACTAAATTCGGCAAACCTGAATTAGTTTTGACAGATCTGAAGCAAAACAGTCTTATGTGCTTAATGTTAGTATAGATATATTTTTCTTCACGTTAGAACAGCGAAAGGGCATGTTTATTGCAGTAGCAAAGCACAGTGCAGCAATCTCCAGGCTGGCTTGGAGTCTGAAGTTGCAGTCTCGTGCAGCTTGTGTGCACAGCCTCGTGTGTGACGGCATCTCTGGTTCTGGGGGTGGCTTGGCTCGTGCGGGGCTGGGAATCTGTTTCACCTGTGCTCTGGTCCAAGCATTCCTTAAGGAAACAAGGGTATCAGGCTTTGCTGTTAGTGCCATATTTTCATATACAGACAATGTTCATATTTCATGTTTGTGTGTGCTAATTTAGTTTACATTATTTTAGATTCATCTAGAAGAGTAGTGTATCTTTCAACCTACATTGTGAAGATTATTTTCCTAGACAGAAGTCTAAATGTGTCTTTTCATAAAATGTGAGTTTATATTGTGGAGAACAGAAGGAAATTTGTATTGCAGCCTGGGATTCAGACATCTGCAAAATGCCTTGGAATTACTGGATCAGAGAAACAGTTGTCTTAATTGAGTTATAATCCTACACTAAATACTCTTGTGCATGCAATCTGTGCAGAGTTCTCATGTTTTTCAGCAAAGGACAAATTCCATAGAACTTACAATAAGCACTTCTTAGTTTTGTTGATTCCTCTGGCTCTTCTGATTTTGCTCCAGTGGTTAACAGGGTTTGTAGGATCTAATGCTGGATGCATGGAAGCCTTTAATTGCTAATTTCCTGTGTTGTACAGTACTAGATCAATCACTATACACCAGTTGCTGAAGAGATGAACAACAGTTCATTGCAAACCTACAGGCATTTTATTTTTTGAGTTTTTTGTATGTCACATCTCGGCTATAAGATAGTGATAATTTACATGCAACACAGGAGTCATATGAAGTTCAGTTTCAGAGTTGTTCAAAGCTACTAAGCACAGAAGACAATACTTCTTTTTAACGCTTTTTTTGGTGCAGCTTGCATGGCTTTGAAAGTATACACAATATAAGAGGAAGAGTTTAGAAAGTTTGTTTTCAGGTCTTCTGGATTCAGAATTTACCTCTAAATACATTACCTCGAAGAAGTGGGTATTTCAAAGTCCAAACACTTTCGACAAAAGTTGTGCGTGATGAAGTAGTACTCTTTGCAAGCAATTTCATTGGAATGAGTTTCATTTGCAATTTTATTTTTTGCTGTGATGGTCAATCTGTTTCATTTTTCACTTACCAAAAGATTAATGAGTCAAACACACCAGTCTAACAAGATACTGATTAAAAAGAAAGGGATGTGTTTGCTTCTGATGTTTAGTCCTTTGTCCTTGTCCTCTTTGGACTTCCAAATATTGCTACCAAAATGAAATCTGTCTTCCGTGTGCCACTATGTCATACTTTGGGGAACTGATGACGTAGATAGCAGGCTTTTGAACATGTGAACATATGTAAAAATTCCACAAAGTGGGCATTGTTAGGTCTCCATGTTTTCATAATCTGCAAGACAAAGCTTGAGAAAAAAGACAAAGCTAGAAGTCCTTCAAAATAAGTACACAGCCCTCCACACACCTCCTGTGCTGAGGCCAACTGTGTGAGTTTCAACAAGGCCAGATGCCGGGTCCTGCACTTGGGTCACAACGACCCCATGCAACGCTCCAAGCTTGGGGAGGAGTGGCTGGAAAGCTGCCGAGTGGAAAAAGATCTTGGGGTGCTGGTCGACAGCTGGCTGAACATGAGCCAGCAGTGTGCCCAGGTGGCCAAGAAGGCCAATGGCATCCTGGCTTGTATCAGGAATGGTGTGGCCAGCAGGAGCAGGGGAGGGGATCGTGCCCCTGTACTCGGCACTGGTGAGGCCGCACCTGGAGTACTGTGTTCAGATTTGGGCCCCTCACTACAAGAAGGACATTGAGGTGCTGGAGCATGTCCAGAGCAGGGCAGCGAGGCTGTTGAGGGGTCTAGAGAACAAGTCTTGGGAGGAGCGGCTGAGGGAGCTGGGGCTGTTTAGTCTGGAGAAGAGGAGGCTGGGGGGGTAACTTATTTCTCTCTCACAACACATTGGTCTGTTCTCCCAAGTAACTAACGACAGGACGAGAGGCAATGGCCTCAAGTTGCATCAGGGGAGGTTCGATTAGATATTAGGAAAAATGTCTTTACTGAAAGAATAGTCTGGCATTGGAACAGGCTGCCCAGGGAGGTGGTTGAGTCCCCATCCCTGGAGGTGTTTAAAAAACGTGTAGTTGTGGCACTTAGGCATATGCTTTAGTAGGCATGGTGGTGTTGGATGGATGATTGGACTTGATGACCTTAGAGGTCTTTTCCAGCCTATGATTCTATGATACTACCGAGAAATTACTCTTTTATTTGTTTTTCTTTAACTAAAAAGAAAAATTTTTCAACTAACTTCAAAAGGGGCAAATATTGTTTTAAGACCAAGGGTTTTCTTCTCCACTGTTACACTAGATAAAAAATTGCTTATGCTGCATTATTTTCTACAACTTCCCTGCTTGTTTTGAAATTTAATTAAAAGCAACTTGTTAAAAGGGATAGTGGTTCACACATTTCTCCTGAGGTTTGTGTTTATTATGCATACATACATGAATGCACATAAATTATATATTTGATTCTGCTTCGAAGCAATAAAAGATCTGATTCACTGTGATCATGTGCCACTGTGTCTCTACAGAGCTGAATTTGTTTGTATGTGCTGGTGTCGCAAAGAGGTAAGCCTAGTCCTTTTTTGTGCCTTCTTAACACCATTCTGTCAGTTAATGAAGAGATGTTGCTTTTCTTACACCATTTGAAGGAAAAGGATCCTTTGTTATCCATTCAAATCTGCATGAAGACTAATTGCTGTGGCAGTTTCTCAAGCATTTCAGTTTCAGAGGTTTCTAATCCCTTGCTGCAGTCGTGGCTGATGCTTGTTTGCTACCCCGCAGACATGCACATCTTCCCACACTGTTATCCCTCAAGTGCTGAATCTCCAGCTCAGTACCCTACTAGAAGTAACAATCTGAACATCCTGTACCTCGCCCACATTTTTTCCATCTGCCAAAATGAAAGCTGGTTCTGTTCTCAAGCAGGCATTCCTCATCTCCCTGCTACAAAACCTGCGCTTTAGAGACTTCTGTACACCCTTAGGTATCAGGCTTGTTCCTTGTCTCCCTTGTCACAGTCCGTCCAAAGCCCTGGCTCTTCATGTCCTGAGAGCTCCCGATTTTGTGGTGGGGGACAGGGGGACAGATGCCAGGGAAAGAAACAGGGGAGAAGGAGAGAAAGGTCTGTGTTTTAAGAAGTTGAATAAGAGACTTAGGTAAAAGTTGGTCCTGTTGCTAGGGTATGGCTGCTATAAAGCTTGATATTCATCACTATGGCTTGGTGTTTGTTTAATACCAGGGTTGTTGTAATAGTTTGACTTGTTTGTGGAGTATGTCCTAGGGCAGTTGCTTTATTTTACTGGTTTAAGATTGACT